ACACAAAACTGTTGCATTCAGAGATGTTTGTTTCGTTAAGAGTGAATGGAACATCAGGATCAAGATGGTTTCTCATAAACATTGTCTTCGTAAGATTCAGCTGTAGTCCGACCTTTCGACACTCACAGTCGAAGTCAGCTAGCATTTGTGCCGCTTGGCTAATGTTTGGTATTATAAGAAGAATGTCATCAGCAAAGCAGAGGTAGTGTAGTTGCTGACCATCTATCTTCACTCCCATTCCTTCCCATTCTAGTCATCACATGACTTTCTTGAGGGTGGCAATGAAGAGCTTCTGTGAAATGGTATCGCCCTGCCGAACCCCTCTCTTGACATCAACGATCACTTCTTTGTAGAATGGTGAGATCCTGGTAGTGAATCTGCAATACAGCTCACGGAGGATCTTGATGTATTGGTCTTGAATGCCCTGATTGGCTAGGGCTTCAATGACCGCTTCCGTCTCAACAGAATCAAAGGCCTTCTTTAAATCAATGAACGTTAGACAGAGTGGCATCTTGAAACCCCAAGAAACCTCAATGAGCTTGGTTATCATGTGGATATGGTCAATCGTGCTGAATCCTTTGCAGAACCCAGCTTGCTTGAATGGTTGTCCTTAGTCTAGTGTTCTGACAATCCTATTCAGGATGACTCGTGAACAGCTTGTAGATGACAGATAATAGGCAGATTGGTCGATTGTTGCCAATGTCGTGAATGTCTCCTTTCTTGTACAGTAGTACAATCCTGCTAGATTTCCATTGGGATGGAACCTTGCATTCAGACAGGTAGTGTGTGAATTGCCGAGCCAGTGTATTGATGAGTAATGACGGCAGGTTCTTCAGGTGTTCTGATCTGACCTTGTCTGGACCAGATGCTGTTCACTTCTTTACAGGTGAAATGGCATGGTAGATTTCGGAAGGGAGAAAGACATAACCATCCTGCGGGATTTGGTATGTGGGCAGATGAACGTGGTTATCGAAGAGATCCGAGTAGAAGTCATGGATAATCTTCTCCATTGCCCTTTTGGAAGATGTGATAGATCCATCAGGACGTTGGAGAGCAGTCATCTTGGTCTTGTAGTTGGCGAAGGACAGGTGGGAGTTGCGAATGCTTTTCCTGGCTTCTGCCACATCTGCCAGCACTGCTGTTTTTCTCTCTTTGAGGTCTTCCTTTATAGCTTCTCTACAGTGTTTTGTGAGCTTAGACTTTTGCTTATCGTTGCCTGAGACTCGCGACAAGCCACTGTTGGCAAATAAGCTCAAGAGTTTTCAAAGACAAGCATCTTTTCATGGCTATCTCTCTCTTGACATTCTTCGCACAATCATGGAGGTACTGAACCAGTCAATCGTATTCCTCGTCAATGTTGTCAACAATGGCATCTTCCCATGTTGCCGTAATAGTGCCAAAGAACTCCCAGTTGGTGGTCGTTCTGGGAGTTCTCTTCTTAAACTTTGCATCCCTTTATTCCCGCTCTGTGAAGTAGAATTTTGCACGAAGGAGATGGTGGTTCAATCCCATTTAGAATTTTGGGACAACAGTGACATCGGTCAGCAAAACCATCGATTGAAAATGATGTGGTCAATTTCATTGTGGAACTGTTCACCAGGAGACTCCCATGTCCAACGTTTAGATTCAGCCTTCTGGAACTGTGAGTTACCATGGATGATCTTGGTCGATATGATGAACTCAGTCTCTTTCCCTGTTCATTCCATTCCATTTGAACCATGGAAAACTTCCGCAAGGGTGATTAAAGGCCATCCTAAAATCCTCTATCTCTCTAGGAGAGCATGGCAAGCTACCGAGATTATCCTGCCCACATGGCAGAGTCTGGCAAGCTATCTATGGTGTATTTGATATGCCAAAACCAGTAATTACAATGGGTCTCCTTCCCCTGACACTGAAAGCACCACCAATATGGCAGCGTAAGAAGGATGAGAGGCTGATAAAAATCTCAAGGCCGAAATAGGCTGCCAAAACAAAGAAAGACAAAAAAATGAATATCTGTACTTTCAATGCATGTACGTATACTGGCATCGGATGCATCCATCGAGGACCTGATGGTACAAGCATGAAAGATCAAGTACGACATCATTGGTTCTACCGAGACCAAAAGGCATTAATCACAAATCACATCAAACCATTTTCGACACTGGAGAAGAACTGTTCCTCCGAACATGCGACAAAAGAGGTGTCAGTGGTGTCGGTGTCCTTGTCAACGTGAACTTGGCCATGAGCATTGATTCATTCAAATGCCTAACAACCCGAATAGGATGATTACACTTGAATAGATGTAGCTCATTGCCAGCAGTTTTTATCTTTGTTGTCTACGCACCAACATCCAATTATGATGAAGGAGAAATTGAGAAGTTCTACATGGAGCTAGAGAAGTTCTATAAAGAAGACCACACCTTCTACAAGATCTTTGTCGGTGATTTTAATGCCTAGATAGGACCGAGAAGATCAGCCGAAGAACTCCACGTCAGGACCCATGGCCTAAGTGTAATAGGAAAGAGAATTACATTTGATTCAAGATTGAGAGCTACGTTGAGCCAAAATCTAGGAAGGTTATGACAGTCAAACACGATTTGGGGTAAAAGGAAGAAAAGCAGTTTAACAGGAGTAAAGTGGATGAAGGGGAATAATGGACATGTATTTTTATACATGTCCATACATGTCCAAATGATTAAAGGAATGGCAGTTCGGTTTTTGTAGCCTGAACCAGCAAAGAATGACTAATATCATCATGCCAATGAACTTTTAGCATATAATTGAGTATAATGGTGTTTGGGGTAAAAAGTATTTACAGATGTTTGCTTTGTTTCAGGATCACACCTGGTGGTGCTCAGGGCCTACTCCTGGCTATGTGCTTAGGGATCAATCCTGGTGGGGTATAGGGACCATATGTGGTGACAGGGATCAAATCCAGGTCCCACACATACGTGGTTTAAAGCACCCTACTCTCTCAGCTCCAGCAAAAAGTAGTATATTCAGGTACGTGGAAATGCTGTGTATACAGAAGAATACCACCAGGGTAAAAAAAAAAAAGGCATGAATGATGGAAAACTTCCCCATTTTCTTCAGTCTCTGGTAAGCAAGTACCAGTTTCTTTGGGTCTTCCAACTCTCAGACAAGCACCACAGAACACCTCATGGCAGATTCCCATCCTCTTCAACTATTCCTGACAGTTCTGGCTGAAGAGACAGTTCTGAAGAGCTTTTAGAAACTGAGTGCTGTACTAGGTCAGCACATTAGAGTTACAGAATTGAAGATTCATGTCCTTTTGTGTCATTTCACTTGAGTAGTCCCTAGTTGGCAGACTTTTTTTTAAAATTCCTTAAGGACTATGGAACTTAAAGAAATATAAAAACACATTTTATATTCTCGCCTTGTTGGTAAACTGGTACGTTATTACTTGGAAAAGAAAGGTGACAAGGAATGAAGTGGTCTTGCCATAGGACACATCCTGTGTGTGGGGATGATGGGAACCCAGGGAACCTCACCAATACTCAGAGTTCGGTTCATGGTCAGTTCATGCAGACCAGAGGTTCTTAGGGCCATCGGGGCATCTCAGGTGTGTGTGTGGTATGGGGCGGGCGCGGTGAAGGGGCATGGCAGAAAGGGATGGAGAGGTCGTGCCTGAGAGATCCAAGTAGTTCAAGCAAGGAATGCACTCCATTTGTTTGCTTTATCACAACACACTCTGTTCTGATTTAAGATTTGATCGGGGATCTACACAAAGAAGACCTAAAGGTCAAGCCTCAGTGCGGTTGCCAACTTGGAACGCTTAAACCATATATTTCCATGACTAATACACAAATACATTCAATGAACCCACACATCACCAACGGATCATTTTCTTTCTCATTGATTCAAGCGATTTTTTTTTTTTGCTCGAGAGAGTGTAATGACGTAAACGACCAACTTCATACTAAAGTGGACTAAAAGTCTAATTAGGGCATTTTTCCGGTGGATCTCAGAGCCCACCTTGGTACACATTCATAACCTGAAACTTGGTTATTTTCCCAGGCCTGGGGCATTTGGTACATTCTGCTCCTCCCACTACAACATTCCCCTAACTATAACTGGCATCTGCATTTCCGTAAGTGCTCTATTCTTTACTCTTCTCCCTCCTTCTTCGACAATTCCCAGAATCATGAGAAAAGACCTCTTTCCAGCTGCCTTGCGGAGCATTTTCGGTCTGCTCCGAACAAGAGGTAATGGCATACAATTTTAAGTTTGCTGTTTTTTTTTTTTTTTAATGAGAACCTCATCACTTGCAGGGCACATGTTGAGTGTTAAATTGGGGTGGGGATAGATACAAATACGTATGTGTTCGTTAGAGAACGCGGGAGAGAAAGGAAAATGCATCTTTCTCCCCCCTTCCCCTTTTCAGGTTTCCTTAAACTGATCCTCTTGCTCTCCTCTGCCAGGCATTAACGAGCGTCTGAAGTGCAAACGGGCTTTGGGAGTTAGTTGCCCCAGCCCTGCGGTCGTGCAGAAAGCGTCGGGGCGCAGCGCGCTGCAGGCCTGCAACTGCAACTGCGCGGGCTCGGATTGCAGGAGCGCCGCGCGGGTGGGGGTGGGCGGGCTGGGGCCGCGGCGGGGGCGGGATTTCCGGGACCCAGGCAGAGGCCCCGGGGAGCGGGTGAGTGGCTCGCGGAGGGGGGCGCGTCTTAAAGGGGACGCGAGGCCCAGAGCAGGAAAGCGTCGGCCGGAGCGGAGGACCGGCGAGCCGGAAGAGCGTGGGGGTAAGTGGCGGAGGGGGAGGGCTGGGGGGGAGGCCCAACAGGCTTTCGGGGAAGTGGAAGAAGGAGGGGAGAAAGCGGAAGAGGGTCCCGCGGGAGCGGAAAAGGAAGTGGCCGGGGCTGCGGTGCTTTAAGCGTCCCCTGGGCGTCGCGGGGCTTGGTGGAGGGCGGTTCGTCCTGCTGCTCGGCGCGGGGCTGGAGCGCATAGCGGCTGCCCACTGCCCTCTGCTGGCCGTGGGGACACAGTGGCCGGCGCCGGGACGGACCTGGAGGTGAAGGAGGTCGGTGGGGCAAAAGCTTTCCTTGGGAAAGTGGAGAGGTCGGCGACATTTTGCAGAAAACAGCGGGGTGTGACTTCAAGGTTATTTTATTTTATTTTTTTTTTAATTTGTGGGGTTAGGAGGGTCGGACCCGGGCCGTGCTCGGGGCTCCTCCTGGCTTTGCAACTCCGCTGGGGGTCCGATCCTAACGAGCTGCCTTCCAGGCCAGCACCTTCCCAACGCTGCACCCACCAGCCCGCAGCGCACTTCCCTTCTAAGGGGAAGGCTTCCCAGGCGTCAGCCAGGTCCGGGCCCCTTTGCTGACTTGCCGGTGCACTGGATGACAGCTGCTCCCGAAGGAAAGCCACTTGGTTTCCTGCACGGACCGTTCGGACGCTCAGCAACCACCCCACTCCCCAAGCGCCCCCGAGCGCTTTATGCTTCCGTAAACCCGAGTTTGTCCATTTCCGAATTCTTGGGAGCCTCAGTGTTCCTGGTAAAGTTTGACACATAGACGTTAAGAGTCTAGAGCATGCGTTAAAAACCCCGCATAAATTACCCGTTGAAAGGGACAGAATGATTCAGGATTCGCCAGCTTGAGAGGGAATCCCGAACGACCCTACCCTCCGGCCGCCCCCACTTTTTTCCTATTTCCCTTTCGGGAAGCCTTCTGTATTCCAAGGATTGCTTGGAGTCTAAGAGAGAGAGAGGAAAAAAAAAAGTAAACTAAAAGCATCCCAGCAAAGACCTTCTCCGAAGACCTCGGGCTTAGGAGGGAGGAAGCTCTGGGGGCGGAGGCGAGGGGCCCGTGGGGGAAGGTGAGGCTGTGATTATCGCCAGGGCGCTGAGCTGTGGGGGAGGAGTCTCATCATCAGATCACCCTTGGCTATTTTACTGGTCCTCACCCGAAAGATCTGGGACGCAGGCGCTGATCAGCACTCCAGTGCAAGAAAGTAACTTCCCGAGAATTGGAATGGCGTCGGAAAGAGGTGGTGGGGAGAATGAAAAAGGTATGTGGAGAACTGAGGTGTGGGCAGAATGTTAACCTTCAAACGGATGGATGGCTCGGATTCTTTTTTTTTTTTTAACACAATTGTTTTATTGATTTCATACAATCAAATACTGCCAGCTAGCATTACTTCCACTCATGCATCATTAAAAACAAAAGGATTCTTTCCTTGGTGTTTTCAAATGATGCAGTATACAATACAATAAACAAAAAAGTTAGAACTTAAAATACACCCTGATTAATTATGGAAACTGGTAATTTTTTTAAAAAGCATAATAATAATTTGGTTCCTTCATAAAATGGAAATTTAAATATTTCTTCTGATAGTCTTGAGGTTATCATTATGTTATGAATAGTGCAAAGTGTGGCACACAGTTTCATCTAGAAAGGCATCTTACACACCTCATTAAAGAAACAAAATGTGCATAACAAAATGCTTACAGTCAACAATGCATGATAGAAAGCATGTTTCAGATACAAGGCTTGCTTTCCATTTCCAGCCTCTACCTAGGCGAGCTGTGAGAGCCACTATTTTTTTTTAGTTTTTGCATTATCATTTATAGCATTACAGATTAATTACACATGATATACTATTATACATTTAACCCTGAATATAAGAAAAACATAATTGATGCTTGAAAAAGATGGCTCGGATTCTTAAGACTGGCATGGGAAGATTTGCTTAAAGGAACAAATGCATTGGGGATTAATAAGGCACGACTATGAGTCATGAGGGAAGGCTATTTCCTATAGAACCTGGGTTGGTAGAGGGCCGGAGTTAAAGTTACGATGAAGGGTAAGCCATAGAGGGATCGCCTAGGTAGTGGCTGGAAATGCAAAGCAAGCCTGAATGATTTGAAGACTAAAGGTGATTTGGGCAGAGTGAAATGGAAGGACATGGGCCATGTACCCTGAAACTTGAAAGGTAGGTTCTGTCCTACCTGCCTACAGATCAGAACTCGGGATTCAGATCAGATATTGACCTGATGGGTCCCATTCTCCTAACCCTGAACGAGCATTGAATATGGCTCTTTTAAAATCTCAGGGCTGGGAAGAAGGAGACGTTACTGGTGCCTGCTCGAGGCAATCGACGAACAACAGGATGATCGTGATCGTGATTGACATTCCAAAATGAATAATTTCAGAAATTTCCTTTTTTGCTACTTTCCTTAGGCTAATTGTGAAGTCTGTGTTTGTTTTCCGTGTTTAGTAATTCTCGTGCATGATGAATGGAGGTTACAACTTTTAACAAAACAGTTTTTTCCCCCATTGTGCTTGGAGGGGAAACTATTTTGTCACTTTTGCAGAACCTTGCCACTAATGGAGATAATGCCTTTGATGCCAGGTGTTTTGGGGACTCTTATCTTTCCAGCAAATTTGTTCTAAACTATTGCTCAGCTGATTTGAATTGACTTAGGACACCAATATATCCTGCCTAATAGGTTTTAAACATAACCTTTGTCTTGAAGAAATTTTATAAAATCTGTGAATACCTCAGATTTATATTGCCTTATTACTCTGAAACAAATTCGGAATGCTGCCAGTTTAAGTCTTGATTTGGTTTTGTTCAGTTGTACTTTCAGATACAAATAGTATCATATGGCTAATACCTTATTTACCTAGCATGAAAGGTTTTTTTTTTTTTAATGGTTCTGGGATTACTTCTAGTGTACTCCAGGATCACTCTCTCTGGCTAAGCAAAGGCTCTTATGCTTATTACCCTTCGAGTCTTCTCCTTTGGTCCTCAGAACATTTATTTAGTCTGATTTTAAAATTAGGATGAGGGTTTAGGATAAGGGTATAGTTCTACTTGCTAGGTTCTTGTCAGATTCCTTGAATTGTATTCTCAATCTTTGGATCAGAAAATTTAGGAGGATTAAGATTTCCCCTCTTTTGTTTTTTAAGTTTTTTTATTGAATCACCATAAGATACACAACTACAATGTTTTTGGTTGGGTTCCACTTATACAGTATTTCAACACCCATCCTTCCACCCGTGCACATTTCCCACTACCAATGTTCCCAGTTTCCCTCCCACCACCCATACAACCGCCCCCCCCCCCCTTTTTCTTCCTCTCCTTCTCCCTCTTCCCTTTTGAGGTTTTCAGTACTGAAACTGAAAGATTATCATGTTTTTTCCTTTACCTATTTTCAGCACACAGTTCTTATCCAGAGTGATCGTTTCCAACTATCCTTGTTGTAGTGGTACCTTCTCTATCCCACCTGTCTTCTTCCCCAACATTTGAGGCAGGCTTCCAAACATGGACTAGTCCTCCTGGCTCTTGTTTCTACTGTCCTTGGGTTTAGTCTAATATTATTTTTTTTAACATAGCACAAATGAGTACAGTCAGTCTATGTCCCTCTCCTTATGCCTCATTTCACTTAGCATGATACTTGTCATGTGCATCTATTTGTAAGTGTATTTCATAACTTCATTTTTCCTAACAGCCCCATACTATTCCATTGTGTAGATGTACCATAGTTTTCTTAACCAATCATCTGTTCTAGGGCACACAGGTTGTTTCCAGATTCTGGCTAGAGTGAATAGAACTGCAATGAACATAAAAGTGCACATCAAATTTCTGCTCTGTGTTTTTGTTGCCCTCGTTTTTTTTTTTTTTTCGGACTCTATTCTATCAGAAAAGAGAAGGGGAGCAGGGTATGAGGAAAGTAGAGAATAAAAATGGAGAGGTGGAGAGATCGTACCGTGCGATGGAATTGTTTCACTTTTATGTTCAGAAATCCGTAAAGTGTGATATAAATTACTTGTCTTCTGCTCAAAACTATTATCTTCCTTTCTAATGAAAAAGTGAGAAACTGCTAAAGTAGGTTAAATCTTGGGTTCCCTACATAAGTTTGCCACTAATAGTGTCAAGGTCCACAGGTCCCATTGGGTACGTTGTTTCTCACTCTGAGAAAGTTAGAAGATATAATTAGCCCTAACTCAGTCTTTTAGGGTCAGTCTGTTAACAGAGTACAGAGACCATCATCAACCAGACCTTTTAAATATATGGATGGTCAACAACAAATGTTAAATATAGGTTAAAATGTTTTATCGGTCTCATTAAAGTTTAAATTTAAAAAAATTTGGAGGGCGGGGATGATGGTTGTGCTACAACCTGTGGTGCTCAAGGGCTGATCCTGGCTACTGCTCCGTATGTGCCCCTTGGTTGTGTCATGAGAATATATGTAGTGCCTGGGATCAAACCAAGAGTTGACCTCATGCAAAGCAAGCACCTTGCCTCCTGTACTCTCTGGCCCAGTTTTAATATTTTTATTAATGATTCAGTAGAGATTGTGTGTTCACGTACTTTGTAAACTGTCCTCCCGTTGTTCATCGATTTGCTCAAGCGGGCCCAGTAACATCTCCGTTTGAGACTTGTTACCGTGTTTGGCGTATTGAGTACGTCACGGGTAGCTTGCCAGGCTTTGTCGTGCTTTGCCAGGCTTGCCAGGCTTTGCCGTGTGGGCGAGATACTCTGGGTAGCTTGCCAGGCTCTCTGAGAGGGGCGGAAGAATCGAACCTGGCTTGGCTGGGCTGGCTGTGGGCAAGACAAACGCTCTATCACTGTGCTGTCGCTCCTGTGGCACAATGGATAGCGCATTGGACTTCTAGACTTTATAAACATTTTTAAAAAATTGTCATTGGAGCCCAAGAAGTTAGCTGAAGTGCTAGTGTGCACATTTTGCATGTGGAGGCCTGGTTTTCATCCCTGCCACCGCAGGCTCCCCAAGCCCCTCTCGACGACACTAAGCATCTTTTTTGCTCTTTTTGGGTCATATCCAGTTATGCATAGGGGTTGCTCCTGGCTCATGCACTCAGGAATTACTCCTGGCGGTGCTCGATGAACATATGGAATGCTGGGAATCGAACCGGGGTCGGCTGCATGCAAGGCAAGTGCCCTACCTGCTGTGCTATCCCTCCAGCCCCTGGATCCTCAGCATCTTGGTGGGAGTTACCTTCTCCCCTCCCCACAGCTCCGCTGGGTGTGAACACCTAAATGCACACAGAAATATCAGTCCAACTCCTCTCTGAGTAGAAGCAGAGTTCACAGCTTGAACTAATAATTTTGTTATGTAAAGTATCTTTCAT